TAGGTCTTCTGAATACGCCAACTGGTTCAACTTAATCCGGGGATTCAACTTTTTCTGCACGCATGCTAATAAAAAGAAATTTGCTTCAATTTATTTTTTCGACTACAGAGTTTTACCTCTTTCCAGCAGCTGGGATCTGGACTGGTATAGAAAAAACACGTAACGTCTACCTTCAGAAACGGATTAAATTTTTTCAAACAAATAAGCCAGTCTTAAGCATGGCGATTAAGCTTGATCCCCTGCAAAAGGGGCGTAATATTGACGGATTTTCCTCTAAATCCCTTTGCTAATCTCCGGCTTAGAGCGCGTCGCGATTTTTTTCGCGACTCGGCCTGCTTTGTTTTTTTCTTTCGTATTCTTTAATTCGCAAGAACGCAGGCCTCTGGGCCCAATGAGGATCATAATTATGGAATTCCTAAATATACTAAGGGCAGACGGCAGAGCTAGGGAGCAGAGCTACCTGTAAGCGTGGGTTCCTTCTATGCCCGTTGAGCCCGAGACTGGCTGCGAGTCACAGGTAGAGCGATTGCCAGCCTTGAGCTAGCCGGCAATTAAGAAGTCAAATTTCGCTTAAAAAGAAAAAATGGGCAAAAGAAAAACAATGCAAAAAATATGCAAAACTGAACTAAATCCGGCTTAAGAACGTCATAGGTCGTAGGATCCTTGCGTCATAAACAAGGCCGTGCCGTCCGGCGTTTTTGATCATTTGCATGTGTCGTAAATGAATTCGCCGCACATTGGGTGGCGATGGCAGTTCAATCAGCCATCCCACTCTTTCCCGCTCCTTTTATGCTATTCTTGACTTTTTTACGAATGCAAGTGGTTGACTTTTTTTTACTGGCACTTCCGTTTTTTAATGTTTTTTTTTTTTATTATGAGTCCGGTTACCTGATATTTTATGGGTGTTTAGAGTTTTTTAACTGACCCGCTCGGGGGCGATGCACCGCAGCTTCTGAATGAAGGTTACTATATAAATCATGGATCGAGGTCCAGCCAACTATGTAACTACATGCGGTACTCTTCCATATAGAATGTACCCTCTACCCTGACTTTCCTGCTTACAAATTTAATTAGTTGAGGAACTGCCCACCGAAAATAGTAAATATGTTCCAAGCAACGACTCATAGTCATTGTTCGGGGTCTGGGAAGACATATTTTTCTGGTCATTTGGCCCAGGCGGATTAGCCTTCTAATCCCCTCTGCGTGGGTGTTATTTACATGTAGTGCTCTTGTACCTATCCTTTATTTTCTCTAACAATTAGCGAAAATTGTTTATCAACTGTCGTTCGCTAAGAAATGCATAAAATATACCAGGAATGGAGTTTGATAATTTAGAACGAAACTTAAATGTAACCAATTCACAAAGCCTGGCTGGAATATGAGTACATTATATACAGAGCCAAAATGCATGATTAGAAATGACCATAATCCTGTCTTCAAACGCTGTGGCAGCCTAATCTTAATCCGTGTAGGAACTCTTCCGCGACCAGCTTAGGTAATCCTATGATCCAAGGCTTCCTGATTATATCACCAGGATTACGAAAAAATGCTCGTGAAGAGCCAATTCATTGAAAATGTTGATTCTTCTACTCTTTCTTAACCCTTGCCCTCAAAATGATCTCAGCACCCGCTTTTGAAATGGCGTACGTTTGGCATGCGATAAAGATACGAAATGAAGCCCCTTGGGTTCCCTCTTATTAATTTGATATAAAAATTCCATCCCTTTCTATAAGCGTGCCGCATGCACGCCATGTCAGTAAGAAACGAGATATAATTTGGACTTAGGGATGCTGCTGAAGGCGATGCGGCAGGATCAGGGTGAAATTCGATGGTAAAGGTTTTTACAACAATAATAATGTTGATTTAAAGTAAGTTTTTTAAGTAACGAAAATTCGAAAAATGGCTAATTCTCATATAAAATTTTGCTAGTCCTTAATCCAGCTAGATTTGCAATAATCGCACATTCTCTCCTGCGTTACTCGTTCGACGGATTTCCCATCGAATTAAAAAGTGGATTTTAATGAGTCGAAACCTTGGCCACGTCAGTTTAAGGTTGCGCATTTTCTATCCGTGGATTAAGGCAGACGATTAGCGGATGGTTAATGATAAGTACGGGAACAATTTAAATCCCGGTCCAGACTTTAAGTACACGGATTACTACATAAACCATGTAATTTGTAATAAAACTTAATAATGAATTCCACATAGGTTTCTTCCTCTATTTAGTGGATGTTTCAACCACTGTCAACCACAACGATTGACTATAAATCAAGAAATTGGACTCCTTAAAAAACTCAGCAAAAAATCGATCGAGTGTTACAAATTACTTTAAAATTGTGGGCACACTTATGGGTAGCCAAACAATACAAAAAACCCCTATGCTGCAATCGTAGGGGTGCTTTAATGCACATGCGTTGCCTTCGATGTTGTAAGCCTTCACTTTCGATTTTATTTCTGCTTTTCCCCCTTTTTTAATAAAACAATTGTCTCTATGTTGACAGCCCTTGTGTTCATCCGATATATTTGCTCAAAATTTGTCTTTTTTTCCTAAAAAAGACTGAACTTTGCTTTTGTTTCCAGCAGTATATATATTTTTGTTATATTCTTTTGAAAAGCAGAGGGTTAGGGTTAGAATGAACTAAGCGCGTATAGCCTAGTAGTGAAATCTTAGCAGCTGACGTAGGCAACTATTGTATTTTAATATACAACGTTAGGAGAATATATGAACAATACTATCAAATTAATAAATATTTGGTACACTTTGTTAACCTAGGTTAGTTTCCGAAGATTGGACCTTATCAACGGACAATACGCACTTTTCTACGCACTACTGCCCTACTTACACACGCACACTGTGTAGCACGTGTGGAAGGCGTTCTCGAACGATTTCTGTTCAATTTGCGATTCCAAATCTCGAATATTTTGCTTTCACTCGTTGTGATAATATAGTCTCGTTTGCTGATTGTCGGCACAGCCATGGGAGATAGTGCCCGGATCTGAATAAAATCAGTTGAGCTTAAGTTGCTTTTTCAATACTAAGTCGAACTCCCTCCTTATCAAGCAAACAAGCCGAAATTTTTTCTGACTAATCCGAAACCTGGGAATTAGCGAAAATATGCTCAAGCCGGTCAGTTCAGCCCGAAACCCCAGAAATCCTTATCAATAGGGTCAGTTTTGGGTTCTCAAATATTGTTTAATGCCTTCTGCGAATTTTATTTTGCTAAAATCTTTCGCTGAAGTCAAGCATGCTCATTCGATGACAAAAACTATTCGAATTTTACGTAACATTATGCAGAGCAAGGATATGCGCGTCCCTTTCGGCTATTGTTCGGTTTCACTTTCGGAAAATCCACGGTAGTTCGCATTAACCGCCCGGTGAGTTCAGCCAGTCCTGCGCGTCCTTGTCCTACCTACAAACACCAGCATACCGATCTAGACCCATTTTCAACCTAAGTTCAGAACAGCATGTCCTTGCCATAAAATCTACATAAAACCATTTAAAAGTCAATCCGCAAATATCACCGAAAACGCTGAAGCAAGCTGAGATAAGTCGATCTTCCAACTCTACCGACTGTTTTTTATGATTGTTGATTTTTATTTCTACCTGAGACTGTTTTTTACTAGTTCCGCATTGGTGATTCGTTTTTAGGCGTGTGTCAATAATTAGTTACCCATTAAACCGAACTTCCACTTTTTTGTGACTTCGCTCAACAGGCTGAAGGGAAACAGAAAAAAACTCACTCATATACCTTTTTTGGACTCGTTCCTTTTTCCTGCTTTGGGGTCTCGCCAAGCCGACGTTTTGTTTACTTCCTGTTCACTCTTACGGCGCACGCTTGAATTTCCACCCCGTCCAAGGCATCTAATTCTCCTGACTTTTGGCTCTTTCGCTCTCGCCCTTTCCCTTTCGCCCAGTTCTCCTTTGGCGTTCATCCCCTTCGCCAGTTGAGTGGCTATCCAAAAACTCACACGCCGAAGGGAAAAATTGACATGGGATATCCGAGTGAGTTTTTTGCGAGTCCGTTGGCCGCGAGCCTATATCAAAGGAGCTCGCATCTGATCCTGGGCCCTCTCACGGCCTCTTCCTAGTGCACTTTTTATGAAGGCTCTAAAAACACAGGAGCAGCGGAAGTAGTCATAAGTTTTTAAGGCCTCTTCATGGGCAACACATAGTTTTCATTTTTATGTTTTATGACTACCAAAAAACGCAGAGGCCATAAAACCTAGTAGTGCGCAAACTTAGAATATTTCTCATCTATAATTTTTTGTTTTTGGTAAAAAAAACGGCACTGATTGTGGAACTAGAGTCATCTACGGCTTCGACATTGAAATGTACCAGCTGCTGTCTCTGTCCCACCAATTTGCATATGAAAAATCAGCACTTTTAGGTAACAAACAAGAAAAAATAAAATAAAATAAAGGAACCGATGAAAATAACTCAGCTCATCTCAACTCAACGGAGTGCCCAGTTCCAGTTTACCTGCTTCGGGTCTGGGGATCGTTTTTCGCCGTCGCCTTGATGCTTTCTCCTGCTCACTGCATGCGTGTTCTGTGTGCGAGTGAGCGGGAGAGCGAATTGAGTGCGTGGCTGTGTGGTAATGTGAGTGCGTGAGAGGGTGAGTGGGATTCTTTCGCCGCGGCAAAGCGTACTTATAGTTAGCTCACGCAGCGAATTTGTATCAGTCGTGATTTGGCTCTGTCAGTGAGAGGAACAACAATTTGTTGTGCCGCACACACAAACGCGAATAACACAAACCTAATCAAATTACAACTACCTCATTTTGCAAAATCGGTGAACTTTTATATAAAGGAAAAATCAGTGAAACTCTCTACCTCAAAGTACAAAAGTGCGTGAACGAAATAATTCATATCCTTACAAGAAAGTGAGAGAAAATTTGCTAAGAAAATCAAGCCAAAGAATATATCAGCAAATCTCAACATTGCATTTGCTCTGGTGAACGCCATACGAAGGAATTAAACACAGAAAGCAGAACGCTTCAATGGCCATATCAATGCTGCAAGACGCACAGACGCGAAGTAAGTATTGTTTAAAATGTGTGCAATCTTAGTTTTAAAACCCTTAGGCGTCCCTTGGTTTTTGTGACTTTAAATATTCGTTCTTAAACGATTTTGTCAGAGAATGGGCCAAGACCCAATTCGTTCGACAGTAGCGTCGTCTAAACGTCTTTAGGCTAATGGGCGACGCCATGTTTACAGACACACACATTCTTGTTAACACACAAGCTCACATTTGGATCAATTAGGCTTTGTTTACAAGTTTGGCCAGAAACCGGCACTTAACTCGTTACCCACCAAAACAAAAGCTAGAGAGAACAGCCAGAGAGCAGCCAGAAGAGAACCGAGAGCATGGAGCTTCGCTCACATATGTAACACACATGTGAAAGTTTTGCTCTTATGAGCTTCTGCTCGTAGCGAGAGGCACATTCCACAGAGAATCCTTGAGAACCGCTACGCTCGTCCTTTTCTGCCCGCCAAACTTGCCTTTAAAGAGCACTTGAACAGCCGACTAATTGTTGTACTATCTTTTGTTTCAGGCTTAGCTGCTGCATTGGCAGGCATCAAGAGAGAGGAGGCTTCTGTTGATCGCTCTATGTCGCTATCGCCACCCATGTCGGCCAACACATCAGCCACCAGCGCCGCAGCCATGTACCCGGCAATGGGTCTTCAACAGGCAGCCGCTGCCTCTGCCTTTGGAATGCTCTCACCCACCCAGCTCCTGGCTGCCAACCGGCAGGCTGCCGCCTTCATGGCGCAACTACCTATGAGCACATTGGCCAACACCCTGTTCCCGCACAATCCCGCGGCGTTGTTTGGAGCCTGGGCCGCCCAGCAGTCACTGCCACCTCAAGGCACACACATGCATTCGCCGCCAGCTAGTCCACACTCGCCGGTGTCCACACCTCTGGGCAGTGGCAAGCATCCACTGAGCTCCCCCAACAGCACCCCCCAGCACCATGAGCCAGCAAAGAAGGCTCGCAAATTGTCCGTAAAGAAGGAGTTTCAGACAGAGATCAGCATGAGTGTAAATGACCTTTACCACACCCCCGGTGGTCCCATCTCTCCGCCTTCCAGCGGCAGCTCTCCCAACTCCACTCATGAGGGCGCGGGTGGCAATGCAGGTGCCAAGGACCCATCTCGCGACAAGAGCTTCACATGCAAAATCTGTTCCCGCAGCTTTGGCTACAAGCACGTTTTGCAGAACCACGAGCGCACCCACACTGGCGAGAAGCCCTTCGAATGTCCTGAGTGCCATAAACGCTTCACCCGGGACCACCACTTGAAGACCCATATGCGTCTTCATACTGGAGAGAAGCCATATCATTGCTCGCATTGTGATCGTCAATTCGTTCAGGTGGCAAACCTCAGGCGTCACTTGCGTGTCCACACTGGAGAGCGTCCGTACACATGTGAGATCTGCGACGGTAAATTCAGCGACTCCAATCAACTCAAATCCCATATGTTGGTGCACAACGGTGAAAAGCCTTTTGAGTGCGAACGTTGCCACATGAAGTTCCGACGGCGCCACCATCTTATGAACCACAAGTGCGGCATTCAGTCGCCGCCTACTCCAGCTCTGTCACCAGCCATGAGCGGCGACTTCCCCATGGCAGTCACCGCAATGGCTTTGGAGTCCTCCACCACCAAATTTGCGGCAATGTGCGCAAGCTATGGAGGCTCTGAAGAATCGGTCGACTTGGAGAAAGGTCCTTTGGAGGACGATGCCCCATTGGATTTGTCAGAGGATGGAGCCAGCTCCGTTGATGGACATTGCAGCAGCAGCATTGCACGGCGAAAGGCTCAGGATATTCGCAGAGTTTTCCGCTTGCCTCCCCCTCAAATCCTTCATGTTGCCAGTGATATGCCCGAGCAAACCGAACCTGAGGATCTGAGCATGCATTCTCCCCGTTCCGCCGAGTCCCACGAACATAACGAAGATATTGATTTGGACGATCTGGATGATGCTGCAGCCCTTTATATGCGACAACAGCATCACTAGATCAGTCAAGCTCGCCATTGTACATAGCCATGATCAGTTTTCATTAGATGAAAGCGATTGGAAATGATCCACACAAAATTGAAAATTTTGCCATTTCAAAGTGGAGAGCGAACACTTTTGCAACAGGAATTTAATGCTAAGTACAAGTAACTAAAGATCAACCATATATATATATATATAAAACTAGAGAAATAATAGCACATAAATCAAAACAAAAACACAAAAATTGTACAAAAGTAGCTAAACATGCCATAAGCTTATCGCCGCCAAACCCCACCAAATCGAACCGAAATTGTCGTGCCATTCTTTATCCTAATTTAAGTTATATCGTTAGATTTTCAAGTCACAAAAAATTGTATATATATCCAGCATATGCAGCTGCTAATTGTAAATTATACGGCGCTCCAAAAATTTTTATTGAATTACCAAATTTAAAGACTCAAAAAATCATGAAATTAAGTAACGTCTCTTATTTAGTAATTTAGCTTATTTTTAATTTAATTTAAAAGAATTCTTAAAGAAAGCAATGCCAATAATCATGAATCAAAATTAACTTTAAGTTAAAGTAATAAACAGAATTTTTTCTATGCTAATTGTTTTGTTTGCCATTAATATTTAGTACTATTATTTAATCATCTAGTATGTAATAACTACATTAATTTCGTTTTTATTGAACTAAATCTTAAATTTTCACTTTTAATTCGAATTTAAATTTATATTTAGTTAAAATGTTGCCGCATGCAATAGAAAAAATAAATTAATTGAAAAGAACATCGATTTATTTTTATATGTTTGCTTTTTCGTTGAACAGTTTAGAATATTTTATAGCATAGGCTCCTGGCCCTGTTAGACTTTATTCATCTTCCATTTCATAATGATAGTTTTGGTTATCGTTGTAGAACTATTAGGAACCTTAAAAATATTCCCAAAGCATTCGTACATAACAAACGTATAGCTCAATGCATTAACCAAATTGTATATTAATCATTCAACTTTATACTCGTAAATAATAACTATTATTGTAAGACTTGAACCAAGTAAACAGGAAGAAAATGCTATAACCAAATACCTCCAATACCTCTTTGTATCGAAATTGTTGTGAGCTGAACAGTATATACATACAACAATTTGGCAATCGTACAATTTAACTGAATTTATATACAAAAAATTATAAAAACAAAAAATTAAAGCAACAAAGTTATATGTATTGTAATTTTGATGAATATTTTAAAGGGTCTAGGATTAAACAGGATTTTGGCGGATTAGAAAAATTATGAATAAATGTAAATAATATCTATGGGTATAAACATTAATTTAGGTTGTAAATAACAAAAAAAAAAAAAAACGTACAATACATAATAATTTTAGTGCAATCTTTGGTTCAATTCATCGATGAGCAAACAAACTTGCCGATGCCTCCTTAGTTTGTATGTTCTAAAGTCATAAAAATGCAACAAAATATTGTGTAATTTTCTTTGTTCATTCAAGTGTATGGTATACAAGTTCCTCAAGATTAAATGATTACAAAAAATAAAATCAGATGGCAAGCGGATTCAAGTCCTTTGAAATTCCGCGCATTGCACGAAAGACCTCACACATGTTTCATATTAATTGTGTACATTAATACTCGACGCTAATCTTTAGTATGTTTAAATCCTTAGATGTAACTAGTATAAAAAAGTCAATTTTTATGTAAATATTCTACAGCTCAAGTTGTGCATCGCATGATTAAACAACCAATATACTCGACGCTAAGCAGTAATCAAGAGTCATTCTCCAGTTTTCATATTAGCCAGTTAAAAATAAAATACCTTCTGCAATGCATTAGGAAATATGAACTAGACAAATTATAATAAATAAAATGATTGCATTAAATATTTCTGTAAGCGTATATAGCCAGTAAACAGCGCTGTCAGTTGTGGTCATAATCATTTCTAGTTTATTGTTGTACTTTTAGGCTTGAAATGCCAATACTATGCATTCGATACACAAAAATGTGTACATACTGTAAAATTATTTATTACTTTAAAACTAAAATATATTATGTTAATAAACGAATTATATGTCTGCGAAATAATATATATTACAAAATTGTGTTAAAAAATATTCAGACTCTTTTCTTTTCTTCAACAATAAGACAAGAACCGAATCCAATCCGAAGCAGGAAAATTAGCTAGCGCTTTTTCTCGTTTCTGCTCGAAGGCGACAACGGACAGCATTATATAAATTTTTAATTTATGCAAACGAAGCCCTTTCGCATTATTTTACATTTGCCACAAGACGCCCCACTAATGCTGTCGCCACAACGCCCCATCCACCCTACTCCTCAGCTCGGCCCCGTTCAGTCATCCCTTCCCCGGAATTTGAATTCTCGTCTGGAGGCAGCAGCAGCTGAGAAAGAAAGGAATATAAAAAACGCGCCGCGCAGCCTGAAAATGTCACAGTGTTTTCCCCATTTAATCTCCAGCGAGAGAGCAAACAACTACAACGCCACGAGAGGAAGGCGGCACCACCCGCCCAACCGCCCTCAACGGCCGCTCCTCATTCAACCTTCCAGCGAAACTGACGCCTCCACTTCTTTGTGCCCCTTTCAACAGCCAAAAAAAGGCTTCATCCTGGCAGCTCGCTATATATAAAATGGTAGTATGTACGAGCATTACATAAAGGGCGTCTTATGTGCTTACATAGAGAGGTCTAGAAGAGTGAGACGGAGGACAAATGCTCGCGTACTGCGCTGCTTATTAGCATTTTAGCCTTTCTTCGTTTGGAGCTCCGAGAACGCTGTCAGCATGCACAGAAAAAATACTTTTAGAGCCTTTAGCTAAAAGATACGTTTTATGTCAGGGACTTCAAGTTAAAAATTTATAACTTAAAGCCTCTAAATATGTAGTTCTTTATATACATATATGTACTCTATTAATATGGATGTGTATTTTAAATTAAAATGTTCACTAAATTGTTTGAGGTGTAGCCATCCATGCTTTTCTTCCCCTCACCACTTCATCTTATTTTTTAGCTTTCCAGTAAATGATTTGGATTTGGAGGCAGAACAATTTTTTCTCAAATGAGTTTACGAGTGTTTGGCTGTTAGGATATTTTTGGTGGGGAAAGCGAAAGAAAACCCTAAGAAAATAAAAGCCATTCAACAAATTTTAAAGGCTTCGCTGGCAACGAACCACCGACGTAGCCAACTGCCGTTCATTATTCAAATTGAAAAATTATGATTTTCACCCGCGACTCGCCTCGTCTAAATAGGAGAAAGAGAAGAAGGGCTCAGACTCGACCAGTCCGAAATCGGCGCCCAGCCAAGCAAGGCATTATAATAAGCTCCCTGAAGGGGATGGACGGTGGAATGGAAAATGGAAAAAGTGTTGGACATCTCCGTCTTCATTTTTTGAATACACCGTATCCCTATGTGCTTTTAATTTTAAGCTAATGGGAATTTAGATGTTCACTTATTATTTAGTATATTAAACGAAAATCGAATTTTTCTATTGATTGCTTTCCCAACTTCTTATATGCGAATTAATTTAAAAAAATACTTAGTCTGTTCTTGTCAGATGGCAAAGATCCTTTACTACACAAAAATAAGCCAGAGTAGTTAACAGACCGAGTCCCAGAAAATAGTAAACAAATGGAACAATAGTTGTAGATATAATAGACGACGGAAGACAGGACAAATGGTTTGAAAGGTCTTCGGCATACATACACACGCTAAGGGTCAAACTATACCAAACGGTTTCCTCCTACCCCCGGCAGCGCCTGGCGGGATATGCAAAAAAAGGGCATGCAAATTTTGGCAAACACAATTAGCCAGGATCGGCATCAAGATCGGTACTCTGCTACAATGCCCAGAATAGAATTCACACAGCACGCAGTCATGGAGAAAGTGAAGAAGGTTGGCGGACATTGGCGCAGCGTGTTGCAAAATTGTAAGTGCCATAGAAGAAACTAAGACGAGAGAACAACGCTCATTATAATTTCACATTCAGAGTTCTACTCATTTCAGCTTGGAAATTACGAGCTTTGCTCTTTCTCTTATCGAGCTGGTACGCAAAGCAGAACAGTGCAGAAGGGGCAAAATGGAATTACGGTAAGAAAAAAGTGAAAAACAACCCTCTCGAACGGCAGCGACTGCGACTGCGACGGTGGCAGCGGAGTCCGCAGCAACGATAACGGAAAACTCATTTGCATACGAAGTGCTTTCGCTTTCTCTCTACCAACCCCGCGCGCCACCTTCGTTGTTTTGAAGTATGGCGGCAATAGGCCACCTGCGCCTGTGTGCGAAAGAGAGGGTGGCCTACGCTTGCGTCTTTGTTACACCTTTGCCTTCATCAAAGAGTTTAATGCTGGAACAACGCAGTCACAGCCAGGCAAGCAGCCAGGATGCTGGGATGGGGCAAAGCTCTTTCGTCTTCGGCTGACTCGCTTCCTTTTGCTGCTCATTATCAAGCAGCGAGCGTTAAACTCATTGAGACGTTTTGCATCTCTGCTCCCTTTCTGTCTTCTCGTCCCCCCTTTTCATAGCACTCCCAAAAAAAGAAGCTTTTCCAAGCAGCAGCTCTCGGCGCTTTCTTTGACTCATTTTACTTTTGTATTTTTCATTTCGGTCTCTCTGAAGTTTACGAAAAAGCAACGTAAAAGCAAAAAGACATTTTTGTTTAAAGAAAATTACGAACAACCCCTTTGGAATTAGAAGCTCAGCAAGGACAAAAATGTAAGGAGTCGAGGAAGTGGATAAAAAAACGCCAGCGTAAAATCTAAAGAAATGAGCGTATATTATTCATGGTATTAATGTCGGAAAAAAACCACGAAGGGAGGCAATGAAAGGAGAACGCAGGGCTCCCAACTGAAATTAATTTAGACATATTCGGCTTTATAAAAGAAAAAATATACGAATCTGGTATTCTCTTGCAGGGTATTTTAATTTAAGTAAGAGGAAGTCATATTTCGTCAAATAGTCAACAGCCACTTCGCTCAAGTCACATCCGGACGGATTT